CCCACCCACACCCCACACCCACACCCACCCACACCCCACACCCACACCCACACCCTCTGATATATTGTTTAAGTGCAAGGCACAGTTCGTTGTATAAATATTTCTATCTACTATATGTTGTTCATAGAACTAGAACTTGTCAATGTCCAATGTTCGCCTTCATGGCAAGAGATTCATTCAGCGTTTTCAAACAATGGAAAAGTTTTCGATGGAGTTTCAGTATCGTTAAAACAAGGATAAAAAGCGATAAAATATATGATATAAAATGATTCATATCTAACCGTTTTAATGAGAGAATAGTTTCTCTGTTGAACAACATTAAGACTAGTTGGTTATTACAAGTTAATATAAGTTAATTTGTTGTAGCTTGGATGAGCACTGATATATTTTCTATGAATAGTTTTTCTCAACATTTTCGATTTCATACATGTACAAGAATGATTCTTTTTTCTAGATATTCCAAAGAGATATTTTTTCGTCTTCCGAGTAACATAATGTATCACATAAGATATGTAATCGAATAGTACCACGCAATAGTCTTTCAAGGTCATAGATAATCAATTTTTTTAAATTATAATTAAGTAGAGCGATAAAATTACCTTTTGTTATAAGAAAATCGGCATGTTCTAAAGAGATAATTGAGTTATCATCATTATCAATACGCTGTAAATAAACTTGGTCATTATTATCATGAAAAACTAGAGCTTTTAAAAGAGAGTCGATTTTTTTAATCTTATTGTTTTTATTGTTTTCCGTTGAAAGATATTTGATCGGGTTTTTCTTCGAATTATAAATAACTATTGTTGAGTAATCATCGGATAGAATAAATAATGTTGATTGTTCTGGCAATATAACACTAAATAGTGAATGAAATTCGAATTTGATATCTGCCATCATAGGCGGCGCGCCAGCAATGCAATAGTTAGCTATTGCAACCCCTAAAATAAATTATTGAAATCAAAAAGAACTTATTGCTTTCTCTAATTTTTCACGCTTCCTGTATATTCTAGAGTAAAACTACTTTATTCAACATATATATATTCGATGTGATTCTGTATTTTATGTAGGAAGATTGAATTTTAGTCTCAGAAATTGTTTATTGCTATCCTGATGTATCTGTTTCCCGCAACGTATATCGAGTGTCTCATAATAAATGGCCAATTTTTCTATTTCATATTTTAATCTTTAAATACATTTTAAAAAAGCACAGAAATTAGAATTAGATGCAGCGTAAAGATTTGTTCAGCTACAAAGAAAAGCTTATTTTAATTGTATACTTGGTATTTTCAAAATAAATGGAATTCTGCGCAAAACGGTCTCACAGAATCTTGTTTCTTTTCAAAACACAAAGTATACAATTAAAAAAGCTTTATTTTGTACACTGTAGAACTTTTTACGCTGCATCTTGAGATATATGCGATAAACCCAATTAGGTGATAAAAGGATGATATAAGAAAATGATTTGCTCATTGGAATAGAAAAATGATCTTTTAGGTACAATGGATATTATTCTCACGGAATTTTACTTTTTTTTTGAAAACAAAAATTACACAACCAAAATATGCTTTACTTTGCGGATTGTAGATCTTTTAACGCTGCACCTTCTGGTGTATTATACTTTTTTTAAAGAAAACATATTAAGAGATACGCAAATAAAATAAGAGTGAAGGAATGGTTTTTTTGACACCTTCGAAAAGTGGTCGTATAGAATTTTTTCTTTTTCAAAATCAAAATTAAACAACCGAAATCAATCTTGCTTTGTGAATTGTAGAGCTTTTCACGCTGCATCTTGTGGTATACTCGGTTTTTAATAAAAATTTTTAAAGATTAACATCTGAAATACAAAAAGCGGTCATTTATTATGGGACACCCGTTTGAACGAGATTATGAAATTGATATTGATGCTATTGGAACTGCTTTTCTATCGAAAAAAGATAAAAGAAAAAATTTTTTTTGAAAATGAACAAAATAATTGTATATCATCCTCGAATAAGAACGTATTCTTTCCTATTAATAATAAACATTTGTGAACATCTAATAGTGATTGAAGACTAAAATTGAAGAAGTAAACGCACTCAATAAAAAGTACATACACTAATTAAAGCGGGTTTAATGCACTACTAGAGGAGTTAATGCTCGAGCTTTGCATACAGTATAATCGAGAAGTTCAGTTCTCATGAAAAAAATTTTTTGCATCGGACTGAGCAAGGGGAAGAAAGCAGAGCTCATTTAACAGTTTATTGCTACCCCTACAAAACTGACCTTGCGCCGCCCATGATCTATACCACAATCATAATCATCATCACTTACTTGAAAATTACGAAATGAAAAACATTTATGCAAATTTTCGAATTCTATTGAACATTATTTTCAAACTATTCTTGTGAAATACATCGAATGAACGAACTATTCAATTTTGATATGTTTCAAGCGTCCCTACTTCGTATGTTTTACCCAAGCCTGCAAACTTCTCTTAACAAGAAAAAAAAAATCATTGATTATCACTATAAATTTAATAATTTGTTCCTTTTTTAGAAAAAGCGGAACTAATCATCACTAAATATGAACTAGACTACAACGAAATGTTTTTGACATATAATGGCATGCATGGTATTCTTCATCTAAAGTATTCATATAGCTAGATTCTTTTCTCCAAAATGAGTTCCCCAACTGAATTATCATTGCAATCATTCGTTCTTCTTCAAAACAAAAACTCACATAAACGGGAAAGAAAAGCTAAAAATTTTCTTGTAATTGCAATAAAAGATGACGAATAAATGAACAATTAGTAAAATCAGACCAAATAACATAATTATCAATCATGATTAGAAAATGATGTGTTACGTTTACCATCATTATAATTACTGAATCTAAAAAGAATAAAGTATTGAATTTAAAATAAAACTCATCTACTCTAAATAAAACAAGATTGTATTGGAAAATAATTATACTATAATCAAAATCTAAACAACAAGAGAGAAGTCTTCCAACTGTCGAGATTAGGTACATACTTTAATTCTAAATAAATTTTAAACATATAGAAAAGAATCTGTACTCTTATCTCATTGCTGTCGAGATACTGCAATTTTACATTATTTTTTAAATGTTTCACTCGGAAACATCAGGAAAAGTGGTTTTCAAAGTGGTGGTCACAGCCACAACTTCTATATAAAGCGACAGTTACAGGATAAAAAACGACGATGATCTCCGATTCTGATGAAAAGGGGAAATCAATTCTAGAGATTCTTTGTCAACATGAATATATCACGTGAGGAGAAATATTTTTTTTATGGATAAACGGTGCTTAATCGAAGACTAATTTAAGAATTTGTTCAAACGAAAAGAAAGTTTATCTGACCAAGTCTACCATTATTCGAAGAATATTGCCAAAGAGAAATCGAATCTAT